CGGTTTTTTTTTTTTTTTTTTTTCCAGTATTAAGGATTGAACCCACTGAGCCACGTCCTCATACCTTTTTATATTTTATTTTGAGACAGAGCCTTGCTAAGTTGCCCAAGCTGAGTTTGAACTTGAGATCGTTCTGCCTCAGCCTCACAGAGTACTGAGATTACAAGCTTTCATTCTAGACTTTTCTGAAATTTGTTTTTAATTAACAATTATGATCTGCCTGATTTTACTTTAAAGCATGGACCAAAAGGAACTCTAGAAACTTTAACATACCTGCTCATAGGGAAAGATAATTTATAATATGTCTAGGAAGAAGATAGATTACAAAATTGTGACATGAGCCCCTTTTTAAAAAAAGCAACAAAGAAAAATAGTAATTGTAGATTGTGGCTATCTTTAGAATCAGTTGGAAAGCTATTGCAAATTTTTTGTTATATTTTTTAAAGGTTGTAGTAATTATTTATAAATTGGAATTCTTTTATTTTCCCTTGATTGGACTGAGTCATATTTTATAATTGCAGTTCAGATCTATAACATACTTACCATTAGAGACTTTCATGTCTTTCAAACATAAAAAATATGAGTTAGAACTTTAAAATTATTGGACATTTTTAATATTTAAACATCTAAGTTATAAGTTGTAAGCATACTAGTTTTTCTTTTTATGTAATGCATAATGTTTTTCTGCCTTGTAGGAGCTGCAGCGAGCTAAGCAGGAAGTTCTCTCTTTGAGAAGAGAAAATTCTACTTTAGATGCTGAATGTCATGAGAAAGAAAAGCATATTAATCAGCTACAAACAAAAGTGGCAGTTTTAGAACAAGAAATTAAGGATAAAGACCAGCTTGTTGTAAGAACAAAAGAAGCATTTGATACAATCCAGGAACAAAAGGTCTTTAAAATTTTTCTAGACAGATGGTGGTCACATTTGTAAGTGATACTTCTATAAACAAATACAAATGCCCTAATTTATTCATGTTTTTTAAAAAAATCAGGTGGCATTAGAAGAAAATAGTGAGAAAAATCAGGTTCAACTGGGAAAACTTGAAGCTACAATAAAATCATTATCAGCAGAACTTCTGAAGGTTTGTCTTAAAAATTTAATAGACTTAATATTTTATTAGAATTTGTAGAAATATACATATGAAGTTCTTTTATAGGCAAATGAAATTATCAAGAAGTTACAAGGGGATTTGAAAACTCTGATGGGTAAGTTGAAACTGAAGAATACAGTTACTATTCAGCAAGAAAAACTATTGGCTGAGAAGGAGGAAAAATTACAAAAGGAACAAAAGGAATTACAAGATGTTGGACAGACTCTCAGAGCTAAGGAACAAGAGGTAGTTAATATTTTCTGTTTTTGTGTTCTGACTCTTGTTTACAATGCATCAAGATTCCTCAGATGTAGTTTTCAAAGTTCTACTTTGTCACCCGTATTACAGAATAGCACTGACCAATTTTTTAAAAGCACAACTAGATTCAACAGAATTTAACCTGTCTCACTTTGAAAAGTTGGTTATCACAACTCACATACTTAGGATTGCTGATATATGTACAGAATGTACATATTACATAGTTGGGCTATTCCTTTATTCACATTTAATTGAAGTAATCAGTCATTTAGTTATTTAATAGTAATGCATTTCTTCAGTTTTTATTTTAGCCTTTAGTTGACTTATTCTGAGGATTGACATATTTCAGGTATGCAAATTACAAGGACAATTAGAAGCTACAGTTCAAAAACTTGAGGAAAGCAAACAGCTTCTAAAAAATAATGAAAAGTGTAAGTATTTTATATTTTTATGTGACTAATGTATGTAGTTCTATTCTTAGCCTGAGTTCATAAAAGTATAGGTCAGTCGAGCTTCTGTGTACAAATAATTTCTGCTTTAAATGTTAGAATGTCTCTGATATAGTAAATTATATCATACATCCTATAAAATCATTGTAAAGAAAACAATTGTGTCAGAAATGCAAATTAAAAGCACTGAAAAGTTTGACTAATTTATGGTTTAAATTCTTCACTACCTTTTAAAATTACTGTTAACCTGATAGCAATAATATGAATTATTTGAAACATTAACATATAAGATTAAGTTTTTAACTAACATGTTTTCATTCTTAGGATTGGTTATCAGACATAAAATTGTGAACTGTAAGCTGTAAGATAGATAGCACTACATAAAATCTTTCAAGATTTTTTTTTTCTTTTGGTACTGGGGCTCGAATGCAGGACCTTGTGCTTACAAGGCAAGTGTCAAGGAGATTTTTGAGTGGGGCATGGTGGTGCATGTCTGTAATCTGAGTGCTCAGGAAGTGGAAGGACATCCTGAGCTACATAGTGAGGCCCTATTTAAAAAAGAAAGAAAAACATATCGCTGACAGTAATAGAATAAATATGTTAGCAGTTGCTAAAATAAGAATATTTAATTATATAAGAATTTAGTGGCCTATACTGTTGAACTGTAATGTAGGGCAGTTGTAAAAACTTGACATTTGAAAAGCTTAATGTAATTTCAGATTTTTTAATTTTTTGGTACCAAGGATTGAACTCCAGACTTTGTGCTTGCGAGGCAGGCAGTAGCACCACTGAGCTAAATCCCTGGCCTGTAATTTCAGATATTTTAAATGATTAGAAAAGTAAGTCAAATAAAATCCTTTATTTGTTTTCTTATATTAGTAATCACATGGTTAAATAAAGAACTAAATGAAAATCACCTAGTGAGAAAGCAAGATGGATTGGGACCTTCTACCACTCCACCTGCACATTCCAGCAGCAACACAATCAGAAGTGGAATTTCTCCTAACCCGAATGTGGTAAGATTTAAAATAAGATGTGAGTGATATTAAAGAATTTCTTGAAACAAAAATATTCCCAAATTTGTAGGACATCTCTGTGACTCAAGATGTTGGTACTAAATAGACTGGAAACCTGATACTAGCAATGAAGTGAAGTGTAAGTTGCCCTTAAAATAGGCAGCCCTACTGTAGCAAAGCAACTATATTTCAAGGGCGTACTTTTTTGTAAGGCTTTATTGGGTATAGAAATCATTCAGGACTCATTAACCTAATGCCAAATGTGCTGAAAAACTTTAAAGCACATACGCATGTGTATTAATACACAAACATTTAGAAGACTTCAAGAAGAAAGAATTTAGGGTTTGGCCTCTAGTTTGGAACTACAGTGGAAAAAGCGTAAACCAAATTCTGTTAGTAAAGGGGGAAGTGTCTGGTAGTTTTGTCAGCTTTAGAGCCTAGTAAACTGGTTATATGATATAAGCTTTATGATTCCTAAGACCAGGTCACTTGGTTGCTTACATCTGGAGGTGGCCTAGTATAAATAATCAGGTGGCTCGGCCTAGGAGCTTAACAGTGCTGATATATGTATAGAATGTGCCTCATACTCACTGGCAGCCTTCAACCTCTTATTGAGTATAACAGTTTCAGGCAAGGTCACTCTTTAGCCATGATAAATCAAGATAAAAACAGAACCACTGTATAATCACGTATGAACATAGACAAAAATATGAACATTGCCAAACCACAAAAATGGCCAAGTATTCTTCTGTTCTGGCTGACGTGAATGGCTGCTGCTGCTTTAATCAGTTCTAGTTTTAGCCTTAATACATTCCTCCTGTCCAGGTAGGATCTATTTAGACACTCTGTCATACATTCATCCTTACTTCCTGATAGCTTCCAGTCCATGGCAACTTCTCACTTTCTTAACTTTGTCCTTCAGTGGTCTGATACGTGTCTAAATCCAATCACTAATTTCCTTTTTACATTCACACTTCCAAAGTACTATTTAGAGCCAAGACACTTCCATGGCTCCCCATGGTATGCAGTCTCCTTCATTACAAGGAATAAAGTCCAGCTTTGGCACTACAGATGTGTACCAGGTATACTTTGGCTAGAAGGCATTGGCAGAGAGTATAAATTCCAAATGCCTGTCTGAAAAATGTTCACACTGAGCTACATAGTTACATGCTCAGTCCTTTTTTGTTGTTCTTTGGTACTGGGATCAAACTCGGGACCTTGCATTTGCGAGGCAGGTGGCCGCACCACTGAGCTAAATCCCCGACACGCCCCCCGTCATTTTTTTTTGAGACAGGTGTCTTCCCAGTCTCAAGAAACCCCTGGCTTGGCCTCACAGAATGCTAGGGTAATAGGCATGAGACAACTTGCCCAGGTATCTAACTGAACTTTGAATGTACGTTGATGAACAATACTGTGTGTCTTAAAAAAAAAAAAAGTAAAAGTATTTCTACTAGATTAGAAAAAGGTACAGAAAAAGTGCCTGGGGCTGAATTATAAACTTGAAAAAAATGAATAGACTTAACCTGAATGCCTGCCTGATGATAAACAGCTGGGTGAAGAATGTTTGTACTGTACAGCTACAGTGCACAATTGCTTTATAAAGTCTGTGTTTTACATGGCCTCTTATAAAAATAAACTTTGATTTGAGGTTGGTGGTGCTGCTAAATTGGAAATTAGTGCAAAGCAAATTATTATCTGTATTGGCCCATTTAAGAACATTAATCTAGCTGGGCATGGTGGAGCATGCCTGTAATTTCAGCATTCAGGACGCTGAGGCAGGAGGATCACCATGCATTTGAGGCCAGCCTGGACTAACTAATAAATTCAAGCCCAGCCTGAACCACCTACTGAGACCCTGACTCAAAAAAAAAGAATAAAGAACATTAATCTTGTTCTTTCTCAGGATAGCTGCAAATTATTTATCTCTGTCTGGGCTATTGATATGACTCTTACCCTTCATGACACTTTCCTTGTCAGGAAACCTAGTGACCTATGATTGTTTAGTAGACTGTGTTTCAACAGAGTTCAAACTAGTTTCTTGCTAGTTTTCTTGATCAAGGTTTGCACAGCCCCTTTGAATAATCTCTGGACCAAGGAAAGATGTCTTAGCCTCATACTATGTAATATAAAGCAGAGCTCTGTGAGGTCATGATAAACGAATTGTACTCTGTGATTGTTCTCTAAACTAGTAATTGTTATTAACAGATGTGACTGCCTCCTAGATCATTGGCAAGTACTATTTAGAATTATTTCTCATCCTTAATTTTTAAAATATTTTTATTTTTAGATTGATAATAGACTTGCTTACCCAGGCTGTGGGATTGGTTATCCTGTGTCTTCTGCATTTGCATTCCAGAATACCTTTCCTCATCCAATACCTGCCAAAAATATCATCCACCCAGTTTCAGGACCAAAGGTAGACATATTACTAGTACTTTCTTTTTTTAAAATATAGAAATTTATTAGCATGTAAATATTTTTACCTTTAAAATGTTTATTTTTTGGTTAGTTTCTAAGTATGAGGTAATGTATTAGATGAATGTTACTGAGTATCTAGTATATATAGTATGTTTACAAAAAGTACGTGTACTTTTTGTTCCTTCAGTCATTATAATTAATAAAAACCAGAATCTGCTTAAGTTTTATTTATTCCTATTCACCCTCTATTTTTATTCATTCTTCTTTTTAAATGTACAAACCTAACTAGGATTATTGTCTTCATCATCCTGGCCTATTAGATGTAGTAAGACTCTAGGATACCAGTGCCAGAACTTAAAGGTCTATAGAGCTGGCTGGCTTATAGCAAATTCTAAATTGTAGTTCTGGTGATGTTAACCCAAATTGTATATGACAAACAATCCTTCCAACCCTGGATTTAACTACTAAAGCTTTTTCTTCTTACTTGAGTCATCATTAGTATTATTACTAATGTAAGATTTAGTTATTTTTTGTGCATTGTTTTCACAATAATTGAATCTATTCAGATTAGTCCTGTTTTATTTTCATTTCAAATTTCATGTCCATCCAAGTTGGTTTTTTTTTCCCCTAAATTGTGGTGATAAACATTTGTGAAAACTGTTTTATAAAAGATAAAATTGAGAACATTGAAACTGGAATTATATTATCTTTTCTTATGTGTGTACTGGGGATCAAACTCCAGTCCTTGTGCTTATGAGGCAGGTGGGGGAACCACTGAGCTAAATCCCTGGCAAAACTGGAATTATAGACTTTATCAAATTAGGTCTGGGCAGCTGTAAGACGTAGTCTTTGTTACTTAGGCGTGTGATTTCTTTTTACATGTTCCTTATCATGTGGAGCTATTGCATATTGTTTCTATGATGCTGTTACGCTAAGAGCATTTAGATGATTGGCTCTGCTTGCGTTGCTTATTAAGGACGATTAGATATGTCCATTTAAGGAAATATCCGTTGTTATATAGTAAAAACTGGTGTCCTCCAGTGCTGGCAAATGTAGGGCACACGTGTCACAGTCAGCTCTTTGTTTTCATTGAAAGCTCTAAAACCGGTCCAGGGATTTAGCTCAGCAGTGCTGCCACCTGCCTCACAAGCACAAGGTCCCAAGTTCTATCCCCATTACCAAATAAAAAAGAAAGCTCTGAAAGGTTTGCCATCACTGGAATGTGACTGCATCGTGGGTCAGTTTTTTCCTGAGAATTCTGATTGAATTCACGTTTTTTTTAAAAAAAAACTACAGATAGTTAATTGCCTAGTTGAATGTTCTTAAACATAGGGGCAAGATTGTCAGTACTTCTTTTCGTTTTTTGTGAGATGGAGTCTTGCTGTGTTGCCCAGCTGTCCTCACATTCATAATTCTTCTGCCTCAGCCTCCTGAGCATCTGGGATTATAGATAAGTGCCACTGGCCCAGCTTCTCAGTAACTCTTAATTCACAATTTCCATATTCTTTTGATCATGAGCCCTCAATAGTTTGAAACAAGTAAAAAAAAAAAACAACTTTGCTTTCAAATACATAAATATTGCGAATTGTGTGCAGAACCACAATATTATGTATAATATAATTCAGTGGTTAAGAAAGTGCAACTGATGGGCTTTAAATCCTGCCTGTATCAATGTGAAGTTAAGCAAACCACTAAAAAGTAAAAAGCCATCCATCCAACTGCTGGGTATGGTGGTGCAGGCTTGTAATCCCAGCGCTCTGGAGGCAGAGGTAAGAGGTTCACTGTGAGTTGAAGGCCATCCTGGACCACATAGTGAGCTCATGGCCAACCTGAGCTACTTAGCAAGACCCCGTCTCTAAAAAAAAAAAAAAAATTTGTCCAACTCTCAAGCTTCAGTTTCCCCACTTTTAAAATGGAGTGATAATTTAATGTATCTTTCTGAATTATTGAGTTAAATGAATTACTGTATTTGCATAGACATGATTAAGTGCTGCGTAAGTCTGATTTTATTAGTAGTATATTCAGAAGAGAAATTAAAGAATGAGATTAGTTGTAAGATTTTTTTTTTTTTTCTCATCTTAATGGTTGGTCCTCGTCTCCACCTACTTTGATGACCATTGACCTAGGTAGGTAATCTTGTGTTAGCAGCTTTTTTACTTTAAACTTAAATACATTATAATTGAAGTACTTTTTGTGTAAAGAGCATATCTTGTTTGTTCCCTTACTTTTGAATTAGTGTCCCCCTTTCTGACTTCTGTAGGGTTAGTTGAACATTTTTTAGTGTTCCATTTTAGTTTTTTCTATTGTGTTTTTTATTATATCTTTAGTTTTTTCACTTTGATATTGGGTATTGAACCCAAAGCCTTTGCATTAAGCTGCATCCCCAGTCTTTTTATTGTTTTTTTATTTTGAGAATTGCTAAGTTGGGTAGACTGGGCTTAAAGTTGCTATCTTCCTGCCTCAGCCTCCCAGAGAGCTGGGATTACAGGTTTGTGCCACCATGATTTTGTATAGCTTTAGTTTTAGTAGTTGTTCCAGTCATTACAGTGCACGTACCTTTCAGTGTGGGTAAATTTAATATTTTATCCTTTCAAGTAGAATGTAAATACTACTGTACCTTACTACCTACCATACACTCTATTTACCTTTTCCTCCCTTATATTTTGTTGTTTTCAGATGTCTTACAGCTATATACTGAGAAATGTCATCAGACAGTGCTATAATTTTTTTACTATCAAAAATTAAACATATTTAAAACAATTGCATGGAGAAACATAGCTCATTGTATTTATTTAGTACTTACCATTTCTGTTACTCTTTTCTCATTCCTGGTATTCTGAGTTCCAGTATCATTTCCCTATTTATCCTTCATTTTAATGAAGGTTCTTTCATTAAAGACGTCTCTTTCTGGGAATGGCTTTCTTTCACTTTCCTTTGTTAATATTTTCTTTAAATATAGAACTATACATATTTCATTTTCTTATGCATTTTAAAAATGTTTCTGTTTCAAGCCTCCATGATTTATGATGAATACTTGTAGTACATTGAAATTACTGTTTGCCTATATATGTGTCATTTTCTTTGACTACTGCAAAGATTTATTGTTTTCCGTTAGTTTTCAACAGTTTGGTATGACATGTCTGGGGGTGGATTTCCTTAACTTTATGCCTTTGAATCCAGTAAACTTCTTGAATTTGGAATTTGGTATCTTTTGCCAAAATTTGAACACATTCAGCAATTACTCACTTTTTTTTTTCCTTTCAAACACTTCCTCTACTTTTACTAGGACCCAGTAGATGTGAGCATGAATCTTTGTTTCTTTTCCCATGAGTCTAGAAAACTGTTCTCTTTTTTTTTTTTTTTTCCCCCTTTTTT